GAAAAAATCAACTTTACGTGGCCTAAAATTATCCATTCTTATTGGCTGTAGGTAGACCGGTCCTTGAACCGGACTGAGCTAGGACCGGTTCGTGACCAGTTTAGAAATTTTGGTCTGGTTTATGGTCCGCTGCTTGGACCCGGTCTTTTGAGCCGAGACCAGACCAGGACGGACCGTAACATCCCTAGTCTGGCCGGACGAAAGGGTCACCACCGATTCCAAGATGTCATCCACTAAAGCTAAGAAAGTGCTACAGGAATTTTGGAGGATATCCGCATAAGCTTTCAGCGCCGGATCTTGTGTTTGGGCTTGCATCATAAACGCGATGCCGTTGATGCCAGCCAAGGGGGTGCGAATATCGTGTCGGATGTTTTCGAGAAATTCAGTTTTGGCCTTGTTGGCCGCTTCAGCGCGCTCTTTGGCTTCGACGAGTTGCTGTTGTGTTTCCTTCAGTTGGGTAATATCCAGCGAGATTCCGATAATGCCGTCAATCGATTGAGTTTTTCGGTTATATAGGGGTGTTTTTCGAGAAAGGAACACGGCTTGTGCACCATCAGCCAAGGTACTGAGTTCTTCAGTTATATACTCTTTGCCGCTCTCCATAACCTGGATATCAATGGCTCTAATTTGAGTAGCCTGCTTTTTCCAAGGTAAATCAAAATCCGTTTTACCTATCAGGTTCTTACCTGATCTAAACCCTGCACTAACGGCTTGTGCATCGTTGCAGCCTAGAAAAACACCTTCCCTGTTCTTCCAATAGAAATGACCAGGCGCTTTGGCAATGATGTCCATTAGGTAGTCATAGATACCCTCTTTTTCTTCAATCTGTTTTCTCTTTTGCAGGGTGATGTCCAGGCTAGTTCCTAAAAGCCCAACCACCTCTCCCGTCTTTTCATCCCTCAGCGGGAGCTTGTGAGAGAGATAAATCACTTTGTTACCGTGATCGTTTAATGCAGTCTCCTCGCAAGTTCGTTCTAAACCGCTTGCCATAATTTCTTCATCGGCTTGTATGATCTGTTCTGCAATGGTTGTAGGTAACAAATTTTTAGCAGTTTTCCTATGATTTCTTGCACAGAGCCAAGATGTAGAGTTTTTAGCTGTTGATTGTTACAACCCAGATAGCGATGTTGTCGATCTTTCCAGTAAAGATGTCCCGGCGCTGATAGCGCGATCTTTTCTAAGAACTCAAAAAGTAAATTGGGATCTAAAAGGTGGGAGAAAAGTTGAATGACTTGACATCTGTTTGTCCATTTTCTTCAGGGTTCCGGATGCCGGAATCTATATTGCGCTTATCTAGTTATTGATTATTGATTGTACTCGGTCAAAAAAACATTACCCGGTTAACCGGCAAGTATACCCGCGTGTTACTCGAGTGATCGACGGGCATACTCGGTATAAAATTTTACTCGTTGTACCCGGTTAAGCATCGGCTTTTTTTTTTCTACGTACATATGTACACTCCCCTGACAAAAGTCACCGGCTGTCGATCATTTTTAGTAATGATCAGCAAGCGAAAGGATTCGTTGA